CCTCACGAGGAACCCAGCTTGAACCCGATCTGGATTCCTCACGATGAGGAACCCAAAGTCGGGTTCTTCCTGGGTTCCTCCGGAGGAACCCAGCTTGAACCCGATCTGGGTTCTTCATTATGGGGAATCCAGAGTCGGGTTCCTCCGGAGGAACCCAGCTCAGGTTCCTCATGGGTTCCTTGAGGAACCCAGAGGTCTTTTTTTAATTTTTTTTGGTTGGGGAATTTTCACATTAAAAATTATGCCATATCAAGCCACATCATCAAGAAAAAGCATCCACATTAGATTATTAACTGCACAAAATAACCACGTTAATTTTTGGGTGTCACGTAGTACATTTTGTAATGGTACTGTGATGGCGTGTTAAAATGTTGAGTTTTTTACGAGTTTTGAAAAATTGAAAGTGTGAATAGAGAGAAAAAATTCTTGAAGGTGTTTACCGTGAAAAAAAAAAAAATAGAGGGTGCAAATAGGGCTTTTGCCTTTTTTATTTGTTTGTACTGTTACATACTATCAATCTGCGCTCCTTTCTTGTCTCATTTCTTCTGATGCTCTACATTTTTTAGTTGGAAAATGCGGTTTATAAACCAAATAACAAAACTTGACTCTCACAAATTGATTAGTCTTTGATACCTACGATCTTGGAAATGAAGAAATCTAATAGGTAATAGGAAGCGCAAAGACAAGTACAATAAATATAATCTGCTGTAGTAGGATTTTGAGTTCCTAACATTGTTGAAGGGAAGCTTTTGTTTAACATCAGCCAGACTTCCCTTCCTATGTTTCTGCGACTTAAATAGTCAACCATAAGATGTCTTAGCTGAAACATAAAGGTAAGCTTAAATATGTAGTCAAATGAGCAAATTATCATAAGAATTAACTTTTTCATGAATTTTGGGGTTGCACCTATCAAGATGAACAAAGATAACTTGCATTAGGAAAAAGACAGGATGGTTTACACAGTCTGGTCACATGTAATGTGTTACAGAAACTTTGCTGAACTTGTCTGTTGGCAACCAAACTTGTTAAGTATGAGATTTTTGGGCCATCTAGAAGTCGGAATTGTGTTAGGGTTAGGGCTATGAAACTTGGACTTCAAAATTTGAGAGAGTTAAGACTTTTGTTGCATCAAGAATTATGAGAATTATATCTATTTTGAAACCATCCATCTGAAACAGAAACAGAAACTGAACCAAAAATATCTTTGTTACAAACTTCTCTAGAGAATGGATTTAAAGCTAGAGTCCTTGATTCAAACATTCCATCAACAGAAATTTTACCACACATTTATACTGCAACAATATCAGGCTAAACAATAGTAAGAATGTGCCTAATAAATTCTTTTTCACCATTTGACCAAAAAGTGAGAATGAATTTAAAACTAAAGTCCGCAATCCAAACATTCAATAAAGTGAAATACTACTGCACAGATTTGTACTGCAACCATATCAAGCTAAAAAACAGTAAGAACATGCCTGACATGTTCTTTTTGTAACATTTGAATAGAAAATAATTCAAAGAAAACCAATAACATTGAATATAGCTGGTAAAAACCAATCCTTTAGGAGGAGGGAAAAATGACCTAATCATTGCGGGACACAGTTAGAGTCTCAACGTTAGATCTATGCACTCCATGGACTCGGGTGGTTGAATTTCATTCATGTCAGGAAGATTAGGGGTTGGAACCCTATTGTAATCTTCCTCAGATGGCCATTTATTCAAATCAAAATTATCTCTTGTCTTTTGGCCCTGTTTCTCTATGCTATGTGACTCAATTCTCTTGCTTTCACTACCATCACTAATGTAGATAATATCTGATGCTACATCTTCCTTCACTGATTCCTTCACAAACATCTTCGGTGATGGTGTTGGACTATGCTCTGCTGCTCTTTTTTTGGATTGATAGTTTTCTGATGGTTCAACCTGATTATAGTGCAAAAGATATATCTAGAACTTAGCAAAAGTGATACTAGTGTTCTCCGAAAAAATAAAAATTATACTAGAGTTGTGGAAACTCACCTCCATTTCCACCTGAGGGGAACTAATTAATGCATAATTAACATTATCATTGTGAATTCTTACCCAGGAAAAGGCACTATTATGTTTTCCCTTATCCATTGTGGGGGTGGGGGGGTGGAGAGGTGGGAAGCTGACTGTAGGGATGCAATGGGACATGTGATGAAAAGCTTTAGCCAAGTCGCAGGAGCTTATATGGAAAATTGTAAGATACGGTAGTTAATAATTTGACATTTCTGGGGTATGCAAAAATCTTTTCCTTTTTGCAAAAACAATAACTAGAAAATCACCTTTTGAGGGCCGTGGATTCGTCGGTGGTATTTCAAGATATTGATAATGATTTTGTAAATCTGGCTGGTAGTATCCTTTTTTTTTAACATGACCGTAGCTTATTCTTGTTTTAGGTAATTGGTATTGTGAACACACTGTTACGTCATATGAAAGAATAGGTCAATAACATTCTTTTAGTTAATTATTACCACGGAATTATTTTGATGTTTTTGTGTATGATGTGTGGTTGGTTCCATAGCATCATTGATTGAATAAGTCAATGTGCAAATTTGCTTGCAGGTTTGAGAATAAGGTCGGATTGGAAAGAAGGCCAAGGTTATTTGCAACAAGATCAAATCCTCGGGCCGGAGATTTTGCCACACAGAAATCAGATGGAAATGCAATTGAAGCAGGTCATAGTGGCGAAGAAGGCCCTCCATTCCTGACGATTTTGGCTGGATTCATAGTGTTTTTGCTTGTTTGTTGGATCCTTGCATCCGTGGTAATGTGGGTGATTGGATTAATCATTAGGTTGCTTCCATCAAAATAGAAAGGGTTTAATTCAGGCTCTAGCCTGTTTGTTTGTTGTTGCATTGCACTCATGTCCAGACTCCAGTAACTCAAAAAATAATCGAAATGTTAAATGCTAGTTATGTTCCTAATATATGTACGCTTAGTTAATTGTTGGGGTCTTAAATTAATGGATGCACCTGCAGCTGCAGTGTGCTTAACATGACCCGTGGATTTAACGCATACAGATCATAAATGATGTCAAAGGAAACTTGGGAGAAAAAGGAAGAATTGGTTGAGGCTGCTAAAAGCAGGATTTTGTCCCCTAATTAGTAACTTGGTTGTACAAGTACAAATACGAGCTGCTGGGCTAACAGACAACCACAAACCTGTAAGATAAACAAGGAAAGCCATTCTGCTCTTGCATATTACAATGAGCAAAATTTTGTATTTTGAGTATTTTTCAATGGGAAATAATGTCAGGAATGAGCTAATGTACCTCAGCTTAAACCATGAGCCTGCGGAAGAATCTCATGATCCATTCTTCCAGGGTTAAGCTGCTAGTGGTATGTATTCTAGAAGGATCTGTCACTTCGGTAAAAGGGCAGGTGCCCATGTAATAGCTAAAGCTTTGGGGATGGAAACTGATTTTTGTTACAAACTAAGGGCGCAACTGTGAGGAATTTTTTTTTTTTTGCAACATATGCTTGGACATGGCAAGAGATCCCGTATTCACCTGTTGTGGTCTGGTCAGCTATTTTGTTGGACGTGCCACTATCAATTATCACATGCTAATTCCAATTCTGATGTTAAAAGAATGCCTTGCATGTGAAGGAGAAGTGGAGGATACAAACATTATTCCCATACATGGCAATGGGAACAAAGTCAACACAGGCTAGTCCAAGTCAAAGGTGTCTGCTTTGGATGTCCCTCCTAGGCCACCTGCGTGTAGGATCAAGAGCATAGGGCAGCGCAGTTCATTAGTCCTAGGCCACCTATCGATCAGTCCAAGTTGCTGGTAGAGAGGAAGATGACACTGCAACTTCGAGTTTAAGGAACCACCTTGCGCTGACTGATTGGCACGTGGCAGTGTTGACACTGGTTTCTTCTCTCTCCCACCAAATCGTATGAACCCCTCATCCGATACACATTTATCAACCTGGCATTCTCTCATTGGTCCACCACGAAACTATATGCAAGCATTAATAAATTACTGTACATATTTGATGATTATTTGCAAGAACTTGAGCACTTTTAGCATGACCCATACCCAAAAAAACAAAAGGGAAGAAGAGGGGAATAATATATTTCACAGCACGAGTATAAGCTTTATATCATGTGAACACTTAACAAAGGCCGTCACTTTCCCCATCGTCTCAACCACAACTTTTCAAGGCTTCCCATGTCTACAAACTACAAGAGCTTGCACTGATGGCATAGAGGCCACGAGAATTACTCCGAAGTAAATGAGATGCATCAGTTACCAGAAGCAGCATCATTTCGGAACTGCTCTACAAGTGGAGGAAGGAGAAGGGCAAGTCTAGTTTTGTATCTTGCAATCCGTTTTAACCGCTCTTCCCTTAACCTACATGACAAAAAATATAATTATAGCTAAGTCTTGATTTGAATTTCATGAAATCAATCGCAAAAGGCAATGTGCTCTGATCTAAGCCCCAAGTTGCATTCACACACACATAATAGTAGCTAAAGGTTGCTAGGGAAACACCCAAATCAGAAAGGAATAAGTTTACCGTGCTCTGACTTTTTTGGCACGCTTGATGTGCCTCTTCAACAAATCGTGTGCTGATAAATGCTCAACTGATTCCTCTTCCTGAAAGCAGGTGCAGTTCACTTTAGGAAGGAACAATGAATGACCAAAACAAAATTTCTAATAAAGGAAGAGGAAAAAAAAAAGAGGGCGGTGCAGTTTCTATAAACCGTGCAATGCTTGCTTCAACTTTCGAGTACAGTGAAACTATTACTTTAAGAAAGAATAAAATTAATCAATTATAGGGCCCTAAATCTGTTTTTCTCCCACTGGAATGTTGGACATTTAGCATTATTGCACACAGCATGCTCAAAATTTGAACTTGAATTTCTATGCTAACAGGCCAGGACTCCCATTACTGCACCAAACATATGACATTCTCATATTATCTGCCCTTTCTATCTAGCTGTGGTGGTTTGTTTTCTTCCTAATATTTAAACTAATATTATCAGTGTAGTGTTCAAGCCATGAAAGAAGCTGATAAAATCAAAGTCCAGTGTGAGAAACCTAAAACAATTTCACACATATAAGAAACAAATAACCAGGAAAACCCACCTCCTCCTCTTCCTGTTCTTCATCTTCCCTTCTCTCTGGCAGTTCGTCTGTCACTGGCATAGGTAAAGGTTGTGGGAGAGATTTTGCAATATCCCCGTACTGTGGCTGCCAACAAAATTGGAATAAATAAGTATTAAAGGAGCATGTATTAGATGGCAAAAGAGGAGCATGTATCATAATTCATAATTCATAAGTTTCAGATCTAACTCTAAAAGCTTGGACCAAAAAGTAAAAACCACAAATGGATATAATTCAATTTGAAAACTACCTTCTTCAGTGGCTTTCTTAAAGACAAGGAGTACATTGTTGTAAGAGGAAAAACTGCAATGAGTAACCTAAATGCTTCATTTGTACCACATAAAAAACAAAGGAATGCTTCCATTGCATACAAACTTAAACACACTCCAACAATGATACAAACCTGGCTTTCATCAGGAAAACCATTTCTCAACCATGAGCGACAAAGTGCATAAAGAGAAGTCCCATTTGTTATTTTGACCTGCATTGAAAACACAAGGGAAAGAAGAGAAATAAAACAGGCTATCAAGTCCACTGTAAACTCACAGTTCCATGGCATTCTCCGAGAAGAACACAGTGAACAAGTTTTTCTTATAAGATGAATGCCAATGGCACTGGAATGATGCCAAGGCCAGGCATTGATAGTAAAAACTAATTTAGAAGAAGAAAAGGTCAGCTTACTTTTCGATCTCTTAGGGTGATAAGGCTTTCATCTCTGTTTCTATCCCTACAGAAACACAGGTTAGGCTTAAGCGACAATACTATGCATGTTACAGGTGTAAATAGGAAACAAAAACAGAAGGATGACAAAGGTACCTCAGATTTTTATTGTTTCCATTATTTTCAGGAATGGAAGACGGAGATGGACCAACCTACAACGAGTAAACCTTAAAAAGTTGCTGAAAGCTAGACAGGAAATAAGAAGAAAGCACCACACCATGAACTCAGGTTCTATAACAGACAATCTTAAATGAAAAAGGCTAAAATTCAGGTTGCCATTAGCCACGGGGCATCATGCATTCTTCATATGTTTGAATTATAGTAAAAAAATTGAAAAATTCATGCTGACAAGCACAATATAACTCCAATTCCAGCTCTATCGAAAAACTCAAAGCACAAAAAGAAGCAATTATATATAAAAAGAAAAGAAAAGAAAAGACAATTCTTTGCGCTTACCCGTTACCAACAAATCAAAACCACTAGGATCAAATTCCTGACAACCAAAAAAGAAAAAAAAAAAAAAAAAAAAAAAGAATTCACCGAAAGATAAAAACAGGAGACACCCATACCTTGGAATGGGGTGGAATAGAAATCCCTTTAATTGCTCCAGGTACAACCCCGCCAACGTGAGGGAGCTGCTGCAATTGCGGGTAGGAAGGCCTAACAAAGTGCACAGAGTGCAAAGCATCCAAATGAGGAGAGCCAATTGGGGGAGCAGGAGGACGGGAAAAAGCGACGAGGGGTCGAGTGGAGTACACGTTGGGGTTTGCAACGGTGACGGTCTGATCGGGGCGAAGGGGTTTGGGTATAAAACCTCTGCCGGAAGAGGCGACTGGGTAGAGAATAGAATGAGGAGACTGGTCTGGTTTGGTGGAAATCTGTTGATTTTTGGATTGGGATGGAGGTCTGAGGGGGAGGGAGTGAGGAGGGTAGGAATAGGGGAGGTGGTGAGTGGGGAGAGGAGCTAGGGATCTTGGAGGCGGGTGTTGTGCTGGTGGCTGCAGTGGGGTTGCGGTTGCAGTGGAGGTGGCGGTGGCGGAAGGGTGAGCGGAGGACATTGTGGCGGTGGCGGGGGAATCTGGGTTTGGGGTTTTGAAATCAAAAATTTGGGTAAAAGGTCATGAGGGACGAGTCCTGGGTTGGACAGCGAAAAAGGTCAAAAAAAAAAAAAA